TCGGGGTTGGGTGAGACTGAGAAAGATGGGATAATGGGATAAATTATGTATACTGCATTGAAACAGATGAGGAAGAGAACTATTTTAAAGGGATATATGATTAGGTATTATTGTCATGACAGGAGTTCAGATTGAAGGCTGCAAAGTGGACTGGACTTGGGTAAAGGGATTGTATAACAATGAAAGAATTTTTCTTTTACTTTTCAAAGAAAAGAGTGAACTTGGGGAAGGGGGAGGTGAGGGCAGGGAGAAAAGTGCAACAATGAATGGATGGATGGAAAGCCTAAGTCTCTGTAAACTTTCATTAAAATTAATAATAAAAGAGAAAAAAGGGGGGGAATGCAAGTGCTCAGTACTGTGTTAGCAACATGAACGTGTTTTATGGCTGGGAAAAACAACCATTTTCTCTTTGGGGTTGGATCAGGGAAGACTCCAAAGAGGTAATGAGAGTAAGATAGTCCTTGAAAGAATTTGCCAAGCCAAGGGAAAACCTGACCAGAAGTGTAAAGGGAAAAAAAATATTTGATGGTTTATGGGAGAGGAAATAATTCTTTTTGGATGACTACAGGGAATTACAAAGCCGCCACCAAAAAACAAACCCACTGCCTTTGAGTCAAGTAAAACTCACAGCAATCCTATAGGAAAAGGTGGAACTGTCCCATAGTTTCCCAGGCTGAAAATCTTTATGAAAGTAGGCTGTCACATCTTTCTGCCACAGGGCAACTGGTGAATTTAAACCCTTGACCTTTTGGTTAGTGGCCACATAGGTAAACATTGCATTAGCAAAAGGTATAAAAGTTTAGACATTTTCTAAGTAATGGGGAGTTCTAAAAGATTAAATTCCACCCCCTTTCTCAATAGTAGTTACTAGCATTTTTGACACTATTAAAAAATGCTAAAGGAAGTAAATTTCTTGTTCCTGCTTTGAAGGGAAGTGACTCATACCGTTTAGTGAAGTTCACTCATGTTAAGTGTCTTGTTGGATGAATTCTTTTAACCACATACTGTCACCCAGATCAGGATATAAAACCTTTCTTAACTTTGCACACCTCTACCCAGAATAAACACCACCCTCTTTCTCAGTGTGGCCATAGTTTTTAATTTACCATCAAATAATTTTACAGTAGTGACTTTTAGCTTCACACTTCTTTTTTTTTTTTTTTTTTTTAGTTTCTCTGTCATTCAGGGTAGTTGTGCAGGTATACTGTTAACACTAGTTTATTCTTGTCTTTGTTTTTTTGAGTTAAAGTTTACAAATCATATTGACTTTTCATAGACATTTTGTTTTATAACAATTATGATTGACACTCACCAGCATTTGACAACAACAGTATAAATAATTAAAATATTTAATCAACTCCTTTTTGTATATTGTTTTTTCTTTTAAACCGACTTAACTCTTCTTAATTTTTCCTTCTTCCTCCCTTCCCATTCCTACTAACACTCCAAGATTCTGTGTGTAAATCTCTAAAAAGAAAGAATGCTTCATGAACTTTCATGTTGTCCTTGTGCAGGGGCCTTGCTAATTTTTTCTGTATCATTCCAGTTTTAGTATATGTGCTGCCAAAATTATGGCACTGTACCCTGTTTTTAGACAGGATTCTTCCAGATACTTCATTATAAAACATTTTAAGAGTAAATATAAACTTTCTTAAATTTTGAATTAAAATAATTGCTATATTGTTTGTAGATATTTAGTTCACCTTATAGTTGTCCTCAGCTTTCACTTGTTCTGCTGTTATATAATTTTTAAAATTATATCTTGATAGCTGTAAGTTATTACACAGTTTTGTCTTTTTGAAATAATCTTTTTTTAAAAAATTCTGTTTTATTAATTTTAATGAACATTTATAGAGAT